TAACCAAAAAATATTTATTTCTCACAATTATGAAGGATGGAGGGTTAAGTTCAGGGTCAGGGTCAGGGTTAGGGTTAGGGTCAGGGTCAGGGTCATTGTCAGGGTTAGGTTTAGGGTCAGGGTTATGGTTAGGTTTAGGGTCAGGGTCAGGGTGATGTTTAGGGTTAGGGTTAGGTTTAGGGTAAGGGTTAAGTTTAGGGTGAGGATTAGGATCACAGTTAGGTTTAGGGTTAGGGTCAGGGTCAGGGTTAGGACATCGTTTGTCTTCCGTTTTCGTATAGACAACAAAGTTTCGTTTCCACCTCAGGAAGCTGCTAGTCACATGACCTAATCAAAATGGCCGACTTGGATGCGGGGGGGGGGGGTCACCTCGGCCGTGGGCCCAGCTGGGCTGCAGGCTGGCGGCGGGGACGCAGTAGCCCGTCTGCGGTTCCCTGGAGAGCCGGGACAGGCAGGCGGTCCAGTCCTCCACGCCCCGCACCGGGCAGTCCTCCATCGCCGTGACGATGTCCCCCACGGCCAGCCCCCGGGGGCCGTCGGCCGCCGAGCCCTGGCCAATCACAGACGAGCACAGAGTGACCGACCCGGAGGATCCTGGTTCTGAGGCTCCACCTTAACTCATTGACTGGCAGCCATTTTTCAGAACAGAGAGTCCCATACTGCCAGAGTTTTTTGAGCATTTTGACTGATTTTTCAAGAGCCACAGAATAGTTTGTGCTATGATTATGTAAAAACCGAACACACCAAAAGAAAGGGTAGACTCTCTTCCATCATCAGGAAAAAAAAATTGTTTCTACCTTATTCCGTTCTTCCTCAACGCCCGCCATTGGCTTTTTTTGTTTTCTTCATTACGGTAAGAGTAACCCCCACTTTTGGCCAGTCCCTTACAAGTTTCTCACCAACTCCAAACTTTCTTTCTGCTTTTCTATCACCCTTTTCAGCTGCATATTTTCCTTTTGGTGCCATTTTTGTTAAGCCCTTCTCAGTTGTTTTTATAAGTTACCAACCAATGTTGAAATGATGAGCACAGGCCTAGAGCGCCCTGTTGTGGTTTAATGTGAGACTAACATGTGAAATTATATAATAATGTGTTAATTATTTCACAGATAAGTTGCACCCTTGGCAAAAAAAAGGGACTTATAGTCCAGAAAATAGGGTAATACTGACCGGCACCACCTCGGTGACCAGCGCCCCGGCGCCGGTGGAGTATAGGGGCAGCAGGAGGATGGGCAGCAGGAAGAGGAAGGCCAGCGCCAGCAGGCACAGGACGAAGTTGTGCCAGACCCCTGCGGAGAGCAGACAGAAGACGTTGGTTTTAGGCCCTCTGCTCCTTTCGGGGAAACTGCAGCTGTACAAACGTGTATTTGCTGTGGCACAAATTGTATTCTGCCTCCTGTTCGAGGTCATGTTGTTTCCTTGACCTATTACGTCCGATCCCACACGGGTATCAGCATCTCCTAACCCATAGGTCTGTGTTAGGGATCTCCCAATCCAGATTTTTTCACTACCGATCCGATACCGGCCTATCAGAACATGTATTAAAGTCTAAAGTTATTTATCTACTTACTTAGTTGTCAGACTCATGTTGAACAGGGATTTACTCTGATAACAACTAAATGGTTAGGACACAGACCTGTGGGTTAGCAGATGCTAATGCTAATGCTCGTGTGGGACTTGATCTGGAGTCTGGATCGGCATTTTTTCCCTATGTCCTAACCATTAAGTTGTTATCACCAAGAAAAATAGGAAAAATATTGGAATTTTTTTAGTCTGAAGTCTTTCTTTGGCCCTTCAACAACATATGAAGAAAAAAAAAACTGAAATTATTTTGATCAAATGAGCATGCAATAAGTCAAAAACATACTTTGGTGTAGTCTTCTACTGGCTGTTATGAGAGTAAATCCCTGTTCAACATGAGTCTGACAACTAAGTAAGTAGATAAATAACTTTAAACTTTAATACATGCTCTGATAGGCCGGGATCGGATCGGAAGTGCAAAAAGCTGGATCGTGACATCCCTATGTCATAATACTGGTTATTTCTGTTGAGACGTCTGCACTTAAAGAGGCTCTTTCAGTCTCTTTGGGCGGATGTAAACAGTCTGATCAGAGCTGGGAGCCTGAGGCTTTATCTCCGGCCTGAAGCCTGCAGACAGCAGAGGTTCATCCTTCCAACTCGTCTTCTGGCTTCGGGACGCCGTGTCAGCAGAGCGAGCGCCGCTGGCTAAAAATAACCCAATAACCCTCCATACCGCCTTAATTATGCACGAGGACTCGGCATGCTAGCATCCTCCTCGCTCTGGTTTGGGTCATGTGACCCGGCTGGACGTTTCAGGACTCGCGTCTGGAGACACTTGAGTTATTTTCCTGTCAGATAAGCCCTGGAGGGTGGGGGCAGACACCCAGAGAAGCTCTTTGCTGCCCCCTGCAGGAAGGCGGAGCGCACACGCACACAAACACACACACACACACACACACACAAACACACAAACACACACACACACACACACACTTGGACACTAGAACTGGCAGAAACTTCACTTTAAGAACAATCTGACAAAGAAAAAAACTTCTAACTCATATTGAATAAGCTCCTTTTTTTACCCCCACTGCAGAGATTGCAGCCCCCCACCCCCCCAACACACACACACACACACACACACACACACACACACACACACAC